GCCCAGAGAAGCCACCAATCCAAAATGTGTCGTTGCCAGGGGCAACCTGGACACAGCGCTGACCAGCCTGGGATTAATCTGTTTTTCCCAGCATGGGATTGTTGTTTGTCTAGTTTTAATTTTTTTTTTTTTTTTTTTTTTTTTTTGATTTTTAAAATGCTGCTCCAGGGCATGGCATCGCCTGAACACCACTTGAAAAGGCAGATCCAGGCAGAGAGGGGTCGCTGATTCTTTTGGAGAAAAACTCTCGCGGATTGCAAAACGTCGGCACAGAACTCCTGTCTCACTGAACAGTGAGTCTGTCTGTCTGTCTGTGCCTGCGATGAAAGGGTCGGCTCAGGTCTGCCTGTGCTAATGGATGAACATGGCCCGACTCCTAGCTCCTAGGAGAGGTCAGAACACACTCGCCTTGGGCCTGCACCATGCCTGGGTCCCAGCGGTGGGTGCACAATGCAGTGCCAGGCGGGCATACAGAAAAGATGGGAGAGCCTAGGCAGCATGGTAGAGTAAATAAATGAATAAGCAATGGGGTGACCATACAAGGCCACTAGTAGGCACAAGCTTTGGCCTCCTGCTCCTGCCCTTAAATGCTGAAAAACGCAGATTTAAAAAAAAAAAAAAAAAAAGTGCGTTTAAGAAAAGAAACTCTGGATTTTGAAGATCGTCGGAATTGCCTGAGCAGCAATCCGGAGGCAGGCTTTAGTGCAATCTTGTCTTTGATCCTTGTCTTCAGCTTGGAGGAGATGCAGAAGCTGGGGTTTTGATGGATGAGTAGGAGTTCACCAAATTGGGGCCCACCTTCTCTGCAGGGGCTTACTGACCCTGTGGGAAGCACAGATGCTCAAGAGACAGCATTGAGGCTGGAGAGCAGAGTGTCCACCCTGGGTCTAGAGCGTAGCACAGGACACAGGGCACTCGCCTCGCGCCATGGATCAGAGGACCATGTCTGATCCACCACCACAAGAACATGTTCAGTGTGGGCAGGATTCTACACATCTGACACCAAACAGAAAGAAACCTGGACCATGATGTGCTCTCTCTGGGTGTCACAGTCTCCCTTGAGATGTGGTTCCCAAGAGAGAGTCAGCTGGCGAAAGCAGAGAGGCCTATGTATGAACTTTAGTTTGGCTGTGTGGCTCTGGGAAAGTGTCTTTCCCACTCTGTGCCTGAGTTGTCTGTGTTTACAAGTCAGTGATGAGGTACTCCCCATGCACTAGATGCTGTTCCTTTCGGTTTCCTGTTCTACGTGTCATCAGCACTGTGTGGTCCAAACAACTGGAGCTCAGGGAGGCCGGAGGCTCGTTCGTGGTGGTCCATGGAATGGGCTCCAAAGGGCATCTGCCTGGCCCTGCTGCGAGCACAGGCACAGGGTCGTCGGAGTGCGAGGTCTGCTGTGAGTCCCCCATGTTGCTGTGTGACCCAGCAGGCATCTTGGGTTGCTGGTGAAGAGACTCTGCCCACTTGGTGAGGGGGAATTCCAGGTGGGACCACCCTGTCTGCATTCTCCCTGACTCCAGTCTGTGCTGCCTGGACTGGAGGAAAGAGTCTGTGTATACTTCACCCTACACCGATCCAGGGGCTGGCAGTGAATAAAAAGCTCGCGTTGACAACATCCATCCATCCATCCATCCATCCATCCATCCATCCATCCATCCATCCATTTCTGGAAGAGCTGGGGGAAAGAGAGTCATGGCCAATTGTATTTCCCAAAATGACTGAAAGAGATCTTCCATCCCCACATTTTTAACGCTTCTCTTACAAGACATTCCAACCCATTTCCCACCCAGTCAGCACTGGGTCTCTGCCTCATCTACAGCCTGGTGGGTCTGTGACTTCTGAAGTGAAGCCATACGGCAAGCCAGGCAGAAAGCTGACTCCATTTCTGCCTGGCTGCTGGGCATACTTGTGCTTGTACCCAGTCACCGCGCTGGGAGGACACCCAAGACACACGTGGAGATGGCGCGTGCCGGTCGGTGTTCCAGCTGCTGCACCAGATGTGCTTAACCTCCACCACCGCTGGCTGCAGTCCCTAAAGCAGAGTGCCTTGCCTGAACCCAGTGCACCCCAAGGCCCCTGAGAGAACGCTAAGAACAAGCGCTGTTCGAAGCCACGGTGTTTCAGAACGACCCGTTGCTCAGTAGCAGACACCCAGAACAGAAGTGCCCTCTATGCACCAGGGTTAAAAAGAGTTGGGATCCAAACGAACAAGGAAACCAAAGCCCCAGTTTCAGAAATGGTGGAAGGAACTTTGGGGAAGCTTCCAGGGTATCCAGGATAGGCACAGGGGATGGAATAAAAGCCCCAGGTTTGGGCTGCTAAATGAGGGTCCAAAAGCCCACCCAGTGCCCCCCACCCCAGCAACACATGCCTGCCTATTACACCATGGCTGGGAGTGAATAGATAAGCCACCCACAGAAGCATCAGAGACCTCAGTCCCGGGTGAGCACTTCATGAAGTCATCTCAGATAGCTAAGGAAAGCTCGCCACAAAATAGAGATCAAGTTCAAACAATAAAATACCAAGAAAGCGGTGTTATATGAGAAAGAAATTGGCTTTCAGAACAAGTATAATTAATACATTTATAGAGATCAAGACCAGGCAAAAAAGAACCAAAGCTCTTTAAGACTAGACAGGTCTTTGTCACTCTTCTGTTGCTGTGACAATACACCAAGGCAACTTACAAAATAAAGTGTTTAATTGGGCTATGGTTTCAGAGGGTTCAAGTCCATGAAGGCAGAGCGAAGGCCTAGCAGCAGAACAGCAGAGCGCTCACATCTGCAGAGTACACTGGGAATGGCGTAAATCTTCTGAAACCTCAAAGCCCACCCCCAGTGACACACTTTCTCCCACAAGGTTACACCTCCTAATCTTTCCCAGACAGTTTCACCAACTGGGGACCAAGTATTTAAACACATTTGCCTATGGGAGCCATTCTCCTCCAAACCACCATAACTTATGATTGTCAAAACCATCCAATAGGAAGGAGATCAAGAGTTAGAAAAGCATGAGAAGAAACAGTAGAAGAAAAGACTATCAAAAACTTATTACCCAAAGGCTTAAGAAGACATAGTAAACTTGGGAAGATCATTAGAAAAATATTTAGCATAGAAAATAAAAGCACTAAAAAAAAAAGTCCCCAGGCTTAGGTGAACTAGCTTAAAGCATATGACAGTCCAGAAAGTGAACCAATCTGTGGTGTAAGAACAGCAGAGATTGATACCCAAACCAGAGGACCCCACACTGATGATCAGATGCAAATACTCTAACGTGCAGTCTCTCTGCCTACTAAGCAAAGTTGTTGTAAATTCAGATGTGCTGATACACCCCTATAATCTCACCAATTGGGAGGCTGAGTGAGTATTGCAAATTCTATGCTAGCCTGGGCTACAGAGCAATACCAGGTCTCAAGGAAGGGAAGAGGGAGGGGGAGGGAGGGAGGAATTTAAGTCTTGAATATGGTCACATTTTATCTTATTATTCTTTAAACTGTGGTATAATGACTATGTCACATTGACATTGAGATAATTTGGGAGCTACATTCATTTATATTTTATATACACTTTTGCATGTAGCCTAAAGTGTATATAAATCCTAGACAATATTTTTAATAGTTTTGAGTTTGACAACAACAAAATTGAACTTTTTAAATGTATTTCATGGTGTGGTGATCTACAGTGTGGTATCCTGTGAGGGCTCAGAAGTTTGGGGCTTGGGAGTGTGATATGCCTTGGATATGGGATCCTCCAAAAGGCTCGCAGGTTAAAGGCTTTGCTGCCAACTGATTGTTGGACTTCTGGGTGTATGGTGACTAGCTCCAAAGGGCTCTGGCCTAATCAATGGATTAATCCCGTGGTACTCACAGCATTAGTGGATGGTGGTGGAAATCAGGAGATCGGGCTGGTTGGAGGAAGTAGGTTTTAAGAGACCCTGGCTCCTTCCTGGCTCTCTCTCTCTCTCTCTCTCTCTCTCTCTCTCTCTCTCTCTCTCTCTCTCGCCCTCGCCCTCGCCCTCGCTCTCTCCTCTCTCTCGCTCTCTCGCTCTCGCTCTCTCGCTCTCGCTCTCTGTCTCTCTCTCTCTGTCTTTCTGTCTCCGTCTCTCTCTGTCTCTGTCTCTCTCTCTGTCTGCTATAGAATGGTCTTTCTGTATGCTATGAATATGTGTTGCTCTTATTGGTTGATAGTATATGTGCTGCCGAAGTGAGCACATCTTATTGGTTGATAAATAAAGCTGTTTGGGCCAATAGCCAGGCAGAATAAGGTTAGGTGGTACAGTCAAACTGAAGACAGAGATAAAGAAGGGCAGAGTTGGGGGAGAAGGCAGAGAGCCGCCGAGGAAGCAAAACATGTAGAAAATGAGGTAATCAGCCATGAGCCACGTGGCAAAGCATAGCTAAGGAGTATGGGTTAATGTAAATGTAAGAGTTAGCTAGTAACAAATAAGACCGAGCCATGGCCAAGCATTTATAATTGAAATAAGCCTTTGTATGATTATTTGGAAGTGGCTGTGGAATGGGTGGGACAGAGAAACTTCCGGTTAAACTCTCTCTCTCTCTCTCTCTCTCTCTCTCTCTCTCTCTCTCTCTCTCTCCTTCCTGGCTGCCATAGAGTGAGAAGCTCTGTTTGTCCAATGTCTCCACCATGACACTGCTGTGCCTTCCACAGACCCACAGCAGTGGGGCCAAGCGCCCACGGGCTGAAAGCTCTGAACGAATGAGCTAAAATGAACCTTTCTTCCTTTTACATAGTTTCATTCATGCATTTGTCCCAGAGACAAAAAGCTAAGTGACACACAGCAGTCCTGATTCCAGGTTACAGATCCTTAAACTGTATCATACAGGACTTTTTAAAATAGATCTCATAAGAACATGCGTATGGGTCACATGGCTTAAGGGAGTCTTCAATCAAATGTTTACGTGTTCTTGTTGGTTGCATATATGTGTGCACATTTTTTTTGTTTCTTTTTTGAGACAGGGTTTTTCTGTGCAGTTTTGATGATGGTCCTGGATCTTGCTCTGTAGCCCAGGCTGGCCTCGAACTCACAGAGATCTGCCTGGCTCTGCCTCCCGAGTGTTGGGATTAAAGGTGTGCAACACCTCTGCCCGTGCACATTTAATTGCAGGAATGATATTCAGAAATTAACTTTCCCCAAACGGGCACATGTCCATGCCACATCTAGTCAGGAATCTTCCACAGCACCAAGCTCCAGAAATGCCAAAGGAACCATCTTTCCAGGTGAAGGGCTGGGAGTCAGCAGGAGAATTCAGTGAACGAGCGACACACAGGAACTGACTGTGGGTTTTGGCATAGCCATTATGTTGCCGTTGCTGCCACCACCTCCATGACCACACTTCACTGACACCAGAACACAGCTGCAGCTTCCAACATGGACTGACAACCAGTGACTCTCCAGTAGTCCTCCAGACTGCAGCCTCCCTCAGATTGGTGCTCCCCCGGCTTCAGGCACTGAGCAGCTACAGGTTCTGAGCCTCTCTGCCCTGCAGATAGCCAGCCACTGTTTGACTACCCAGCTGGTATCATGTAAGCCAACTAATATATATATATATAGTTTGTCTATCTTCCCAGAGAACCCTGAGCAATACAATGCATTGCTTGCCTGCTACCTATCTGCTAATAGGAAAACTGTGAGCTTCACTGGGGGTGGGTGACTTGACTAGGATCACTCAATGTTGGCAGGCTCTGAGTTCCAAGCAAGCGCCTTCCTGAGAGCAGAATTCCTACACTGGGCGCTGGAGGCAAAGGGTCTTACATTTGGGATTCAGGAAAGTGCTTCAATAAGCTGATTTGACAGGAACTCCCCGAAGGAAAACTTGCCTCTTTGTCCTGTTCTTGCTGGTCCCTAGCCATGACAACACCCTTCTAAGTGCATGGCTGGGGACATTACAGACTATCTGCGGCTGAGCCCTGACACAGCATCCCATGCCAGGCACAGAGCGCAGCTCCGTGGGGGTAACCTGTTATAGTCACTGCTAGAGGGTTGGAATGTCACTGTCCTTTCAGACCAAATGGTCATCCTTTTCAGAGGGCTATCCAGGGGCCACTTGCCTCCAACTGAGGATGGCATAGCTCCTAGGGTGTAGGCGGCTGTCTCTAATGCTCCTCACGTGGGAAGTTGTCTGTCACAGGCATTGTGGTGCTTGCGCAGCCAGGTATCACAGGCAAGGCTTGCTCTAGAACTCTGCCCCTTTTGACAGCTGGGGCCTCGGCATCTTCGGGAGAACCGGAGCAGATGTAGACACAAGTCTCCAGGCATGAGGCCAGAGACAAGTAAGAGCTGAAGGCAAGCTGGGCTCAGATCATTCAACCTGGACAGGTTTGAAGATCTGGAGGAATGCAGGGTATGGTGATATTTTATTTGTACTGAAATGTGATTTTATTTGTATGTTAATAAAGTTGCCTGGGGGTCAGAGCTAATAGCAAGCCATAGCAGAAGCTGGGCGGTGGTGGTGCTCGCCTTTAATCTCAGCACTTGGGAGGCAGAGCTAGGTGGATCTCTGTGTGTTCAAGGATACAGCCAGCATGGAGACACACGCCTTTAATCTCAATACCAACCTTAGAAGACCTGGAGGTCTGTGTAGACAGGCAGTGATGAGGAGGTCATGTGATTGGGTTTATAACCAATGAGAAGGCAGAACAGAAAGTCAATAAAAGGTCAGACACAGGAAGTTGGCCTCCTTGCTGAGAGGAAGTTCAGCAGCGGCAGTGAAGGGTAAGCTCAGCTCTCAGCTACTGCTCTGACCTCTTGGGCTTTTAACTCTGTAATTGGCTCCGTGTTTCTTATTTAATAAAAATGTTCATCTACAGCAAGGTCCTGCCCAGGAACAAGGGTAGAAATCAAGGGTGGGAAGCTCTGGGGTCCCTACTTCTGCCCCTAGAGTGCCCAGCACTGACGTACTGAGGCCATTCTCTTCCAGCCTGCTCCCTGAGCAGACACGCTGGTGGATCTCAAAGTGACAGGCAATGTCATAGTTCAACGTAACCACCCACCCTCTGCCCAAGAATCTTAATGATTTAATTTTCAGAGGCTGAATTATTTTCTCAGAATGTAACAGAGCACCGGAAACTTAGTGGCTCAAAACAATCGACTTGCCATCTCACTGTCTTAGGACCAGAAGTCCCAAACAGATGGCCCAGGGTTGTGGTCCTCACCATAGGCCCCAAGAAGATCCCTCTCTGTGCCTCTTCCAGCTTCTAGTGGCTCCCACTTAGGGCCACATCACTCCAGTCTTGAATCATGTGGTCTTATGACCTCCCATTCTGTCTCTTATAAGATAGGCATCACTGATTAAGGGTCTCCCAGGTAATCAAGGATGACCCTATCCCAAGGTATGTAGCTTAACTGCATCTATAAAGACTGTCCACAAACAAGTTTTATTCACAGGTGTCCTGGAATTTGTGCACAGACAGATCTTTACAGAAGCCACCACTCAGCCCACTAGAGGAGACCACCTTTCTCATGATCAAACTGTGAGACAAAATCCACACACTTCCTGCAGTCAGCAAGTGCTTTGATCAAAAGTGGCTGGTAGTGTATCCTCGATGCTCTCAGGGGACCGTCAACGTCGACCAAAACACATTCAGGAAGTTGATCATTTTCTGTTTAGTCCTGACTACATTTTGACAAATGGCTGTCTTTCAAAAACCAGTCTTGTCATTGAATTGTCCATGGCCAGCTGGCTTGTTTGCATACTACTATTAGCCAAGTGACATTGTCATTACCCATTTATAAGCATTTGGTTTTTTGTGTCAGAACTACCTCCCTCCAATACACACTGCTCTGTACTGTCACTGTGAAGCAATCTTCTCTTCCCTTTCACGCAGGTACCAGGGCAGATCACACCCATCACGGCTGCTGGGCCGTGGGGTCATCGAATCACCGTGTTCTATAGTCATTTAGGAAGCCAATTCCATGCAAGCTTTGCCCGGAAATACACCAGAAATAGGGGCTTTATTGCACTTATCCTGATGCAGGCTGAACTGTGCCCTCTATTCATAGGGGCCAGTCTTACCTCCCAGAACTTCAGAAAATGACTGGATTTGAAGACAGGATCTTTGAAGAATAATTAAGGTAAAATAAGGTCATGTGGATGGGTCTTGAGCCAATACAACTAGTGCCTAGAATAAGAAAAGATCAGGACACACACAGAGACTATGTAAAGACAGACCGAAGCAAAGACCGGTGTCCATCAGTGAAGGAGAGGGACCTCAGAAGAACAGCTCCACCAGTGCCCTCATCTCCCAGGAACTTGCTCTCCTCCAGACTTGAGAACAGTGGGAATTACATTGCTGTTGCTTGAGCGTCCAGTATGCGGCACTTTGTGACGACAGCCTGCTGTGGACTGCATGTGTCCCCTCAAACCCCATGTGACAGACAGGGAGATGAGACTGTGACAGGTG